AAAATTTAATTTTATTGTTCTCTGAAATAAAAATTTCATCAGTTTAAATGCATCTAAACATAAGAATAATGTTCAGCTCCATTAGACATTATAAAATATTCTTTAAATTTCGTTCATTTTAACAAAAAGTTAAAATTTGGACAGAACATATGGGATGACCTGATAGATGTAGAAGAAAGCAGGACAAAGGAATCAACCGACAATGATCTTCTGAAGACTCGGATTACGACACTGAGAATCAAAGAACTAGATCAAGTTCCCCATAACGAGAAATACTCGTAAAACTAGCAAGAAGGAGACGGAATATAGGACAAGCCGTAGATCAAGACAGGGCGTGAAACCTAAACGATTCAGGGAGATGTAATGGGGTTGATTTAGTCAATACGTAATTAGTTTTAAGAGAACGATGACTCTGGCTCACGGGTTACTATGAGTCAGAAAGAATATATACGGCTACTATGTTTCTCACAACAAATGAAAAAAGAGTTGAAATTAATGCATGCAAAATGTCACAGCTCTAACATCATTCCTTCATAGTCATCCTATGAACTATTCAGCACACACTCGAAATTGAAAAGAAGCAACGCAGTTATTAATAAGAAGAGTTGAAATTAATGCATGCTAGATTTCATAACTCTAGCGTCACTAATTCATAGTCAGCCTATGAACTGTTCAGCCCACCCTCGTACCTGGAAAGAAATGATGCAGTTATTAATACGAGTTGAAATTAATACATAGAATATTTCACAGCAATAGCATCACTCCTTCGCTGCCAGCCTATGAACTTTTCAGCCCAGCCTATGAACTTTTCAGCCCAGCCTCGTAAATGAAAAAAAAATCAAAAAACAATGCTATTATTAATAAGAAAAGTTGAAATTAATGCATGCAAGATTTCACAGTTCCAGCATCATTCCTTCATTGTCAGCCTACGAACATTTAAACCCAGCCTCGTACCTGGAAAAAAACAAATCAGTTATCAATAAGAAGATATGAAAATAATGCATACAAGATTTCACATCTCTTGCATCATTCCTTCATAGTCAGCCTATGAACATTCCAGCCCAGCCCAGCCTCGTACATGAAAAAAAACAAAAAAAAAACAATGCCGTTATTAAAAAGAAGAGATGAAATAAATGCATGCAAGATTTCACAGTTCTAAAATCATTCCTTCATAGTAAGCCTATGAAAATTTCAACCCACCCTCGTACCTAGAATGAAACAAATCAGTTCTTTATAAGAAGATAAGAAATGAATGCATGCAAGGTTTCACAGGTCTAGCATCATCCCTTCATAGTCAGCCTTTGAACATTTCAGCACACCCTCGTACCTGGAAAAAAAGAAAATCTGTTATTAATATGATATGAAAATAATGCATACAAGATTTCACAGCTCTAGCATCATTCCTTCATAGTCAGCCTATGAACTTTTCAGCCCACACTCGTATCTGGAACGAAAGAAATCAGTTATTAATAAGAAGATATGAAAATAATGCATGCAAAATTTCACAGCTCTAGCATCATTCCTTCATAGTCAGCCTATGAACTTTTCAGCCCAGCCTCGTACATGAAAAAAAACCCCAAAAAACAATGCCGTTATTAATAAGAAAAGTTGAAATTAATATATACAAGATTTCACAGCTCTGACATCATCCCTTCATAGTCAGCCTATGTAATTTTCAGCACAGCCTTGAAATTGAAAAAAGAAACGAAATTTTTAATAATAACAAGAAATTAAAATAATTTCATGCCCTAAAATCCTTCATAGTCAGCCTAGAAACTTTCCATCCCAGTTTCATAACTCAAACCTATATCGAATCAATTGCGACGCCGTGTGTTTCAGTTTGACCTCTTACTCCTGAATCATCCAGAAAAAAAATTCTTCCGTGCAAAAACGACAATGGTCAGATGTTTCTTAATAAGTAAAAGTTGAAATTCTGAATAAATCCAAGGAAGAATTTCACAGCATCTGACATCATCCCCCTTCCTCATCGCCTTAATGTTGTTTTCCTGTGCCTCTTCTTCAAATATTTTCATGGTAATTATTCTCATGATTTTTTCCTATTTGGTATCACACCTCCAGATACAAATTGTACATAGGGGAATAGTTATGACTTTATAGAGATATTGTGGTATTATGGTGACTGTAGTAAGAATGATAAATAAGAATGTATTGTTTTGGTTTAAGAAATATTGTAGTTTGTTGGGTCAGTGAATTTTGCCAGCTAGATTAAATATAGGACAGTTGATAACCAACTTTTCCCTTCTAACTTTTGTATTTCAATAATAAATATCTCTTGCCACTTTGTTCTTCGGCTTTACGAGTTTAAGCGAAGTATCAGATTGGTATCGTTTTTTCTTTCTACGATCAGTTTCCCAGCGTTTTTTTTTGTTTCCCAGCAGTTTATTTCACATTTTAACATCCCTCCATTGACACACACACACACACACACACATATATATAGATAGATAGATAGATAGATAGATAGATAGATAGATAGATAGATAATATATATATGTAGATAATATTAGTGGTAAATATACACATACATATGCAAAATATATATACGTACATGCATTTTTTTGTATAAAAAATTCCAAGAGGATAGAATCCAGGTAGAACTCAATGTCCAGGACAAAGTAAGAATATAATAAAAAGTCTTAAACACTAATCGTCCATGGTCATAATTTATTCCATTGGAATCGTAAATACGATCCAATTCATCAGACCTACAAATTCAAAAAGAAATTGAATTTGTAGGTCTGATGAATTGGATTGTATTTACGATTCTAATGGAATAAATTATGACCATGGAATATTAGTGTTTAAGACTTTTATTATATATATATATATATATATATATATATATATATATATATATATATATATATATTCTACAGTTCAAAAGTTTAAAGACACTCCCACAATTAGCATGAAAGAAGAGTGAAAAATCATAAAAACGGGATCTTAGAGTCATTGAAAATAGAATGGAATCAAAGTAATACTTTGAGAAACTTTCGCAACAAATGCCAAAACATTTTGCTGCAGTAATCAAAGCTAAATGAAGACCTACCTCTCTGTGTCATGTCTCTTTTTTGACAGAAGCTTTGAAATGGATAAATTCTGTAGAAGTTTTTTGACGTTTTTTCTTTGTTTGCAGCTTTCACAGTTAAATTTCTAATTCCGACATGAACTCAGTCTATACCGGGGTTGAATAAGACTGACAAATTTTTATTATTATTTTGTCGGTTATAAGGTGATTTTGGATTTTATTGTTTTAATCATTTGCTCTGTAATAATAAATATATTGTGCATTTTTTTAGCTCAGTTTTAATACTTGATATTGTTAGGATCCACTTGGATTATATATCAACAGATTTATTACCTTTAATACAGTGTAACCCGGATATAAGAGACCCGGATATAAGAGAAACCCGGATATAAGAGAGATTTTCCCTGGTCCAAAATTAGAACCTGTGTTAATGTATACAAAATAGACCAAACCCAGATATAAGAGAAACCCGGATATAAGAGACTTCTTCTCCTGTCCCGACAACTCTCTTATATCCGGGTTACACTTTATATACATACATATATATATATATATATATATATATATATATATATATATAACTTTTTCCTTTCTTCCGTTGTTATTTTTCTTTTAGTTAAACTCTTTATTTCTTTCTCTTTTTCTTTCTTTCTTTTTCCTTTTAATCATTTTAATTTTCTTTCTTTCTCCCTTTCTTTTCCTTTTTAGTTATATTCTTTGTTTGTTTTCTTCCTTCTTTCTTTCTCTCTTCTTTCATTTCTCATTGTTTTCGTATCATTTAGATTCGCCTTGATTTTTTATTCGCTTCTTCTAAACTTCATTTTCTTGTAAATTTCTTAATATACATTTTTATAGCTAGCAATTAAGACAAACAAACGCTCCCTTTATTTATCTAGCGGGAAACTTAAATAAGTAAATAAAATACTTAACATGAGCGGCATAAAAAGCTGTTTCACTGGCCATTTAAAAAAAAAATCGTCAGCAATAATCAAACTTTGATATACTTTAAAATTTTAACGAAATTAAACTAAGCGCCCGACTTTAATAGTTTGGGACCCACAGTTTGACACTTGAAGTTTCAATTTTTATGGAAGAAGGTAATCGATAGACTCTATTCAGAAGAAAAACTCGATAAAATATAAGGTGTTATTCTGAAAATCAGGGTTATAAAATATGATCAAACACATTAGATGAAGAAGTAAAAATTCGGTATGAATAAACAGGATAAATCTATCTATTTATCTATCTATATGTCTCACGATTTAGATTGTTTGGACTATCGTCCTCACCTTTGTTGCCTTATTTATCACAATGTTTCGGACACAAAAAAAACCTGAGCCGACCAAACATAGAAATGAATACAATATGGAAACCAGGTTAATAAGGAGTGCCACAGAAAAGCAATAATAACAACGAAAATTGCAATGTGAGCTCTGGTAAAAAAAATACAATGATAACAGCAAAATTTGCAATATGAGTACTGGTAAAAATGGTTACTGAAAACATTAAGTATATAAGTCTCAGAAATTCATCGACAGATGTCCTCAAGGACACATGGCACAATGGATAAAGGCGTTAGTTAGATCCAGTGACAGTGAGTTCAATACCTGGTTAAGGCGGTGGGGAACTTGGAGATGGAAATTAACAGGAGATAACTGACAAGTGACATCCATTAAACATGGCACGTAGAACTAGAACAGTCTAGAACAGAGCGAAATAAAGGGTTCAGTTCGATATTCCAACCGCCTGAAGAAGGCCGGAGCTTACAATGGCCGAAACGTTGTGATAAATATGGCGACACAGATGAGGACGATAGCCCGAACAAAGTAAATAGTGTACATAATACCTCATCTCAGAAATATAGACAGATAGCATGTCTCTCAGTCTGTTAATTAACTATCGATCTATCTATCAAAGTATGCTCATTTCCTATATTCATTTTCTATTTTAGTCTGTTTATATCTATCTATCTATCTATCTATCTATCTATCTATCTACCATTGTTCATTATCTATCTATCTATGCTCATTATCTATCTCTCTATCGTTGTTCATTATCTGTCTATCTTTTTCATTATGTTCATATCTATCATTGTTCATTATCTATCTATCTATCTATCTAACTATCTCTTTTTGTTCATTATCTATGTTCGTTATCTATCTATCGATGCATGTTTATTATCTATCTATCATTGTTCATTGTCTATCTATGCTCATTATCTATCTATCTATCTATCTATCTATCATTGTTCATCATCTATCTATGCTCATCATCTATCTATCTATCTATCTATCTATCATTGTTCATTATCTATCTATGCTCATCATCTATCTATTTATCTATCTATCTATCTATCTATCTATCATTGTTCATTATCTATCTATGCTCATCATCTATCTATCTATCTATCTATCTATCTATCTATCTATCTATCTATCATTGTTCATTATATATCTATGCTCATTATCTATCTATCATTGTTCATTATCTATCTATGCTCATTATCTATCTATCTATCTATCTATCATTATCATTGTTCATTATCTATCTATGCTCATTATCTATCTATCTATCATTGTTGATTATCTATCTATCTATTTTTTCATTATGTTCATATCTATCATTGTTCGTTATCTATCTTTTCTATCTATCTATGTATATCATTCTGTTCTATCTATCTATCTATCTATCTATCTATCTCTTTTTGTTCATTATGTATCTTAGTTTGTTCATTATCTATCTATCTATCTAGCTAGCTAGCTACATATTGTCATTGATGAATCATTCCTGTCGTTGTCATTCACATCTGTTTTATGCCTGAAATTCTTCCATATTCCATATTATCTCTTCTTTTTATACCACTTCCGATGTTAATAATGTGTGGTAAATGCAATCTTTTAGTGTGGAATACACAATTCAGTTTAGATTATTTATTAAATTCATCGAAAGATGTCGAATATACATTAGTAGTTGAATAATAGTTATATGTATTTATATTAAAATATATATATATATAAGGGTGTTCCCCCAAAAGTGACATCATTTTGTCATAAAAAATATAGGCCATTCTCGGTCAAATGATCTTAAATTTCAACAAAATTTCTAAAAATTCTGATGACTGTGTAGACTTATCTCAATGAGGATCTACCAGGAAGATGTATCGGGAGTAGAAGTGATAAAGTCAATGTACTGTTTAAATGACTACCACGTTTACCTGTCCCTCAGAGGAGGAAATGCGTCGGTTAAGAATAGTTTATCCTTTTGTCTTTTTATTCCTTTTAGTTAAATTCTTTCTTTCTTTCTTTTTTCTTTCTTTCTTATTCTCTTTCTTTATTTTAATTTTCATTCAATACTTTCTTTCTTTTCTCATCCGTTTTTCTTTTTTCTTTAGTTTATATTCTTTCTTTTTTTCTTTCTTTCTTTCTTTCTTTCTTTCTTTCTTTCTTTCTTTCTTTCTTTCTTAATCCTTTTATTTAGTTCAATTTTCTTTGTTTTTTCTCTATTCATTTTTATTCTTTTAAATACACACATTATATATATATATATATATATATATATATATATATATATATATATATATATATATATTAATTTGTAGTTTTGATGGATTGGATCGTGATTACGATTCCAATGGAATAAATTATGACCATGGAATATTAGTGTTTAAGCCTTTTTATTATATTCTTACTCTGTCCTGGATATTGAGTTCTACCTGGATTCTATCCTCTTCCAATTTTATATATATATATATATATATATATATATATATATATATATATATATATATATATGTATGTATGTATGTATGTATATATATATATATATATATATATATATATATATATATATATATATATATATACATGTGTGTGTGTGCGTGTGTGTGTCTGTGTATGTGTGTGTATATTAACCACTAATATTATCTATCTATCTATCTATCTATCTATCTATCTATCTATATATATATATATATATATATATATATATATATATATATATATATATATATAAACATGAAATTTACCGGCCTGAAATGAATTTATTTAATACTGTTTATCCAGAGCAATTTTATCTATAAAAACAACGTTAAACATTTTATGTTTCATAATATATTTTATAGAAATGAACAAAGTCCGACAATTTTAAGAGATTCATACATTCTTTTCAATTCTTTTAGATTAGTTAAGAAATGCTCTGTTTATAATAACCAGTTTAAACATGTTTATTATAAAATATAAAAAGAACGTATAAACCTAAAAAATGTTTTTATATATATATATATATATATATATATATATATATATATTATATAAATATAATAGAAACAAATGTCTATAATGTTTTATGGTGAGCCTTTCCAAGCGTCGTATAATGGCTTTAGTTTTAAGAGGAAGCTAAAGACAGAAAATGTGCAAAATTTCTTTTTTATATTTGTCGTAGTTGATTTTAAGCTTTCGGCTCACATGTGCCATTATCAGAGTTGCTATATAGACATTAAAACAGAGATGTTCACCTTCAAAGTTGACATACTATTTTTTTTACATCGAAGTTTGCTGTGTGCCGATTACGGTCTCGCAATACTAGATGCAGGTCGTAAATTTACATGGCACACTTCTATTTGAACAAAACAGGATGCAATTATGTCGCGATTTTGAAATGTTTTCGATGTAATGTCATAAAAATAAAGAATATTGTACTACTTTATATGCGTGTGTAAATTTTAAAAAATGTTCGGGGATCATCCAATCACGCTACCTTGGTTTCAACGGTTCTGTATCCCCAGGCGATATGGGCCAAGTAATTTCCTAAAGCTTTATCATTTATATATAAACGCACAACATTATTATGATTAATTATCTCCTAATTATTTTTTATATTGAAAAGCTCTGCATGTGAAAATTTTCTTTTCTTTATGCATGTATTGAGCACTTTTTACCAATATATATATATATATATATATATATATATATATATATATATATATATATATATATATATATATTAGGTTGTCCCAAAAGTTCGTAAACACCTGTCCCAAAAGTTCACAATTGAGACAAGCGATGGTTTTATGCAATTTTTAATTATTTTTGGAAGCGCATTGTGACATCGGACGAGAAATTGCTCTATCTGGTCCAGCACAATCGAGACAAGCGATGGGTTCAGAAAGGGCAAGAGACACCGTCGGTTCCAAAACAAGATCGATTCGGCAAGAAAGTCATGTTGCGTTTGGTGGAACTTTGAAGAATCGCATTTTCAGTTGGTTCCGAATGGTCGTGCCATCAGTGCCGAACTGTCAGAAACTGGAGCGGGTCTACGAAAAGTTGAAGCAAAAGTATCCGGCTCTGATCAACCGAAAGCGCGCTTTGATGCAGCAGGACAATGCCAAGCCACACACCGCCAGGAAGACCAAAGACAAGTTTGAAGAGCTGGACGGCGTTGAGGTTCTGCCACATCCAGCCTACAGTCCTGACTGTGCTCCATCAGATTACGGCTTTTTCCGCTCAATGCAACACTTTCTGAAGGGCCGCCGATTCGACTCGTTTGATGAAGTCGAGGAAGCGTGTCAAGAATTCTTTGATTCGAAGCCGGCTGAATGGTACTTTCACCAGATCCGAAAGCTTACAGATCGATGGCAGAAAGTCTTGGAAAATGATGGTCTTTATTTTGAGGAATAATTTTTGTTGTTTTTGTTATTACTTGGCGACTAAAATTTCAATTTTTTGCAAGTGTTTACGAACTTTTGGGACGATCTAATATATATATCATATAAAACATTTATTGCTCAGGGTAGAATTAGACCAAGAAACAGTTGTATTAAAAAGTGCTCAATACATGTATAAAGAAAATAAAATTTTCCATGTAGAGCTTTTTGTATCTGCTTGTATTTCTGGGATGAGGTATTATGTACACTATTTAAATTATTCGGACTATTGTCCTCATCTTTGTCGCTATATTTATTACAACGTTTCGGCAGTTGTACGCTCCGGCATTCTTCAGATTTTTGGAATGTCGAACTGAACCCTTTATTTCGCTCACTGGTGTAGACTGTTCTAGTTCCACGTGCCATGTCTAATGGATGTCAGTTAACAGTTAATTCCCTTCTCCTAGATCTCCACCTCCTTAACCGGGTATTGAACTCACACTCTTTGGGTCCTGTCACTGGATCTAAGCAACGACTTTATCCACTGTGGTATGTGCCCTTGAGGACACATGGCACAGCGGATAAAGGCGATAAAGTATATATCATACAAGAGGAATTATCTTTACATTAGATCATTTTCACCTTGTAAATTGAAATGTAGTTTACAAGGATTTTTCAAACCAGTCAATGAATTAAAATTGAAATAAAAACGCTAGAAAGTGGAAAGAAAGAAGAAAGGAAGACATAAAGAAAGAAAGGAAAAGGAGAAAAAGGGAGCAAATAAAAGCTAGGAAGTAGTGTATGTCTGGATATAAGGGGTGGTCAGAGGAGAAAAGCAGAGATTAAAAGAGGAAAAGAAAGAGAGAAAAAAAAAAATGACCTATTTATTTTAAAAACAGTAGCAATCACAAGGTAGTTTAGACTTAAAAAATGCCTTCTTAAATCTATAATATTGTATTTGTATACAGTATTATTTTAAATAAGGAGATAATCCCATTTATATGAAAGAGAAATAATTCAGAATTAAAAATATATTAAAAAAATAATGAGAAAAATATAAAAAATTAATATATTGAAATGATTATGTTATCTTAGGACGAAGTAACTCATTTAATATCTACATTTAAATTAAACCTATATTAAATAATTCTCATCTACAAGGAAAAACATTTAATATTTTTAATGTAATATATAATATAATGAAGCAATAAGAGGAAGATTAAATAAAAGTAAAAATCCACATTTAAAAATAAAGAAAGTGAATGAAAAAGTGCCTTTAGGGTAAACTAAAAGAAGAACATTCAGAATAAATTTTACAAAATAAAATTATATAATAAATAAATATATTAATTTAATTAATTAGTTAATAGTAAAAAATAAATAATATATTAAATATTACACAAAAGCATAATAAATATTAATAAAATAATAATAAATATACATAAAAATATATAAACTCCTTAAATGTTATACTAAGATAAATTTTCAAATACCACTTTATCAAACCGAATAACACACACACACACACACACACACACACACATATATACATACATATATATATATATATAACTGTGTGTGTTTTTGTGTGTGTGCGCGTGTGTATAAAATGACAAGTGGAAAAAAATCTTAGATTTTGCCGACGCGTTTTGTCTTCCGACTTTTTTCATTTTATACCAATTTGTCTTGTCCACAGAATTGACAAATTTAACTAACAGCTATATATATATATATATATATATATACACCACTGTGTGGATTTTATCCATTTACACTTGCTTATATACTGTCTACTGAAAACACAAACCTAAATTCGTTTTTTACAACATGGAAGATTGCAGGCTTATCCGGAAAACAGGAATTTTAAAATAATCACGAACTTTTAGGAATTTTATGGGAGCGTCGCCATGTTTTGGCGTGACCACGTTAAACGGAAAGCTGATCTTTTTAAAAATTTTCATTATCTGTTTTATATAAGACTTGTGTTTTTATGTCCATCGTTTTCTTTGAACTGAATTTGTATTTTAATGAATTTTGTCTTGAAAATGGTTTATTAAAACCGAAACGTCTGACGTCGAAATTTTTCATTTTAACTACATTTATGGATTTTTGTTTGTTTTTCAAAATTTCTACATTCTGTATATTTTATCCATTTTTATATATATATATGTCTATACAAACCTAAATTCGTTTTTTTATAAGATTGCATATCCGGAAATACAGGAATTTTAAAATAATATTTATATATATATATGACCACGTTAAACGGAAAGCTATCTTTTAAAAATTTTCATTATCTGTTTTACATAAGACTTGTTTTTTATGTCCATCGTTTTCGTCATATTGAACTGAATTTGTATTTTAATAATTTTGTCTTGAAAATGGTTTATTAAAACCGAAACGTATATATTTTAACTATTTATGGATTTTTGTTTGTTTTTCATTTCTATATATATATATATATATATATATATATATAGATGCCTAATAAAAAAACCTTGAAACATAATGTGGAAATGTAGTCACATTAGAATGTAATAAGAAAGGAAAATAGGTGAAGAAATGAAATATAAAAATGAAATAAAAATAAAAAAAGAAATCCAAGAAAAATGAAATTAACATCACAACTTACAATATACCTATCGATTTATAAAATAAGTCAAAATTAAATGAAAAAACATAAAATTAATTGAAAGTCAATATTAAACAAAATCAATTAAAATAAAAGAAAAATAATAACGGATAAATCAATAAAGATAACTTTTAGTAAGAAAACAGGAAGAGATTGACAATGACGTTAATATTAAAGTTATTACTGAAGGT